GCCAGCAAGGGAGTGGTTAGGGGCAATCAGGCAGGCTGTCAGTGAGCAGTTAGGAGACAGTGGTCCCAGATTGTGAGGTATGTCCGACTGCCGTTTTAGGCCTGATCCCAATGAGGTCCCCAGTTGGAGAGGGTGCAGGCTGGGCTTAGAGACCCCCATCCCCCATCCATGCATGAATTTTGTGCATCAGGCCATTAATGCTAGCTATAAGAGAGGGGTACAATTTATCTCAAGGGAAATAATGACCAGACCAGGTCATTTCTTAAAGGCATTTAACTTTATACAGCTCCCTTTTTTTTGGTGTGAACTTTCTCAACTGGAAAATACACTTTTTTGAAAAACTCTTTTGACCAATACCTGAGTATTTGTATCTGAACCTTTCAGTATCTTACAAAATGAACTTATTTTTCATCTTAGAATTTTATAAGGAAATGAGAGCCTGTTTTAATCTTTGGTTAGAAATTTCCTAACGCAGTTGTTAAAAGTTCTGCTTTTTCAAATGTGCCAATTCCTTATCTATGTTGATGTAAGAAACATTCAAACATACAGAGAGCTTTTTTTTTTTTTTTATTGATTTTTTACAGAGAGGAAGGGAGAGAGATAGAGAGCTAGAAACGTCGATGAGAGAGAAACATCAACCAGCCGCCTCTTGCACATCCCCCACCGGGGATGTGCCCGCAACCAATGTACATGCCCTTGACCGGAATCGAACCCGGGACCCTTCAGTCCACAGACCGACGCTCTACCACTGAGCCAAACTGGTTTCGGCATACAGAGAGCTTTTATAAGAGTTTATTTGAGTCACATTGATGACAGTTGCTGGGAACCAAGATTTCAAATTCTTTTGAGAAAAACAGTTTTGCAGTTTCTCTCACACGTTTGAAGTTATAGAAAAAAGTAAAGAAGAGTAAGTGAAGGTGGGAGAAAGCTGGGTGGAGATTAGATAACAGTATAGTTAACAAAATTATGTGCTCTGGAGGGAGGTTACACCTTCCAGGGGTATTTCAAAGTTCAAAGGTGTGTTAACCGAGATGCACAGAAACAATGAACATAACTTTCACTAAAGAATTTATATACTTGGGTATGACTACCGCTCATGACTTGCCCAGTTAGGAAATTATTATACTAGAAGCCCAGTGCATGAAATTCGTGCACAGGGGTGTGTGTCCCTCAGCCCAGCCTGCACCCTCTACAGTCTGGAACCCCTCAAGGGATGTCTGACTACCCGTTTACTCCCCTGCCTGCTTTCTTGATTTCCCCAACCGCTTCTGCCTGCCAGCCTGATCACCCTCTAACCACTCCCCTGCCAGCCTAATTAATGCCTAACTGCTCCCCTGCCAGCCCCATTGACCCTAACTGCCCTCCCCTGCTAGCCTGCTCACACATAACGGCCCACCCCTGTAGGTCTGGGTCCCCCAAACTGCCCTCCCCTGCAGGCCTGGTTCCCCCCCTCCCAACTGCCTTCCCGGAAGGCCTGGGTCCCCCAAATTGCCCTCCTCTGCAGGCCTGATTGTCCACAAACTGCCCTCCCTTTCAGACCTGGTCCCTCCCAATAGCTCTCCCCTGCTGGCCATCTTGTGGCAGCCATCTTGTGTCCACATGTAGGCAGCCATCTTGTGTATCGGGTAAAAGCAGCCCATCAGCCGAGTGACATCCAGCCTGAGTGGAAGGTGACCTCTGACCAGAAACACCCCCTGGGGATCACCTTTAAGAAAACAACAGACCTGGCTGATAAACCTCCTCCAAGGGATGCAGAAATGCCCTGCTGAATTCTTCCTTACACTAATATTTTTTATCTTCTCTTTAATTGGAAATGTTCTGGTATCTCTGGATAATTATTATTTTTTTCTTTCTAATAATTCTCATTTTGTCTTTTTATGAGTACCACCAGAACCCGAGGCTAGTCCTAGGAGGAGAACTCTTCTGCCCTTGCTAGAACACAGAGGTACCATAAAATTACTGCTTACTACACAGCAAAGGAACATGATGAAGCTAAGGCTAATTCTTTCACTGTTACTGACCTTTCTTAATCTTAACCACTCACTGGCAGCTGTTACTCTCCAGAATGGAAGAGGACTAGACCTTCTCAAAGTGAAGAAAGGGGGGCTGTGCCTGTTACTTGAGGAAAAATGCTGTTTTTATGCTAACCAGTCTGGTATTATAAGGAATGGGGCCAAGAAACTAGTTGATCAAGCTTCAAAAATAAGAGGAGTTGCCGAAACCGGTTTGGCTCAGTGGATAAAGCATCGGCCTGAGGACTGAAAGGTCCCAGGTTCAATTCCAGTCAAGGGCATGTACCTTGGTTGTGGGCACATCCCCAGTGGGGGGGAGAGAGGGGTGCAGGAGGCAGCTGAGTGATGATTCTCTCTCATCAATGTTTCTAACTCTCTATCCCTCTCTCTTCCTCTCTGTAAAAAATCAATAAAATATATATTTTTTAAAAATAAGAGGAGTTATCTAAGACCTGGGCCACAGTGGGGGGTGGTGGGGGGATATAGTCTGGAAATAGCTCCTTCCATTGACAGGACCACTGTTAATGCCACTGATAGCCATAACCCTAGGACCATGTCTTCTAAATCTGTTAACTCACTTTATCTCATCCCCTCTAGATGCCTTTAACCCTTTGGACCACGACCCTTTCCAACAGGAAGTAGTAAAAGAGTTTCAACACCCCTGTTCACCATAACATCCGTGGTTATTGTACCAGAAGGCTGAAAAGCTTGTGGGACAAGGGGGGGGGGGGGGGAGAAGGAAATCCCCTATTTTGTAAAAACTGCTGTTTGGAATTTTCTGCTGTTTTCTTAGATAGCCTCTTATTCTAAAAATGTTTGCTTTCTAGGCTCCTTTAGCCTGCTTGTAAAATGAGGATCATAAAATTAGCTGTCTGACCTTGCAGGTCAAGACTAGGTATGCCCATAAATTTAGCTGTGTTTGTTTTCAAAGACAGCAGTGAGATAACCACTAATTGCATAGAGAGCTGGCTCCTTAATATTGAATTTGAATTCATTTTCTCTAAGTCCATCGAGCAATGAATAAAGTGAGTCTCTCCAAACTCTCCTCCTGCATTGTTTGATTGTTCTGGAACTCTGTAACAGTACCAGGAGGAGAACTCATCTGTTTCTGCTGGGACACAGAAGCACTAAAAAATTACTACCCCTCACACAGAAAGGAAACAAAGGCCTTATCATAAATTGTTATTACACCTTGTGATGCCATCTTTTGCACCTTGCTTAGAAACTCCCTACCCAAATATGATAGACCGGGAAGTCCGTGAGAAAACTCAATCAAGCCAGGTTTTTGTTAGCTATACTTATCTACCTATGGCATGTTACAACTCTACCACCAAATGCACGTGGGGGTGGAGGGGTTGTATTGGATGGAAAAAAAAAATAATAGGACATGGCACCAATGTGCAGCTAACTAATGTTTCTCCTATTTGTTTGAGCAGTACGCAGGGCCAACATCCAATAGGTCACGTCCCAGATGAACTATGCAACTCTACCACAAAGCTGAAAACACCACCTACCCCTGGTGCCCCCTTCTGGAACATTCTATGTGTGTGGGACCACTGCTTACCTCTGCCTGCTTGCAAACTGGACAGGAATGCCTTTACACTTCAGATGGCCCTACAAACCAGAACTTCCTACAAACCCCTCTGAGAGGAAAAAGCAGGATGCTAACCTTTTGGTCATCATCTCTTTCCAGCAGGAAGTAGCTATGAGAGGTCTTCACCCCAGTTCACCATAACATCCCGTGGTCATTGCATCACAAGGCTAAAAGAAGCTTGTGGGATCGGGGTGGGGTGGGTGGAAGGGTTTGGGGGGGGGGGGTGCGAATGAGGAGGGAGGAACCTGGTCTTGCAAGGCCTGTCAGGCCATAAAAACTGTGAACAATGCACTGCGGGGGGTGGTGGTGGGGTGGTGGTGGTGGTGGGGTCATTATCGCTGGCCCTAGGGCAGATAATCGGATATGGAGTGGGGACCCCGAACACCTGGGGGCCTTCCTGTAAGCCCCCAAAAAAGGGCAGAACCATACCTGCAAGACAAAGTCCCCAAAAGGGTATAAAAAGTGAAGCCCTTTGCGTGTTTCTACTCTGATTAGGAAGTTATTCCCGGAGTCCACTAGTGTTAATAAACGGTGTTTCTCCCTTTCTCTAGGAAGTGTGCTTGGTATTTCTTTGGTCTTCTGCAACAACCTTAGGTAAAAATCCCTAAGAACTGGCAACTGATAATCAGTGTGGATGATCCAATCTGGTTCAATTTCAAAGAAGCTTCATTTGAGACTGAAATGCCCGGGACCCGTGAGGTTTACCTGAACCGAGGTAGAGGACGAGAATTTTTGATGCATCAAAAGGAGGCAAAGGTTTTAAAAGCTTGATGTAGGGCTTAATCAAACGGTTTGACTTTTGCTGAGTCCTGGAGTTGGCCTGTCAGGCCCCGAGTGCTAATGCCTGCGCTGCTCCCAGCCAGGCAAGGATGGGCATGTAGCCCTGTAGCGCTCGCACCCCAAACCACTGCGCCCGGACCGAGAGCAGTCTCCGCTCTCAGCAGGCGGACAGCGTGCAGAGGGGATGAGGCCTCGTCCTCGCCGATTCAGCCGGTCGGGGCAGTGGGTGCAGGAAGAGACTTCTCGGTACCAGCTCCAGGGCCGCCCAGGCGCAGCCGGCCGGCTGGGTGTCAGGCTGCTTCGGCCCAACAGCCTCCTCAGGCCGCGGCCGCCGGCCCGGCCGCTCGGTCAGGCCCCCTCAAGACCCCACGGCCTCCACTCCCGGGGGCACAATCCTCTCGGCCAGCCGGCTCCCTCCCCGGCGAAAAGCAGAAGTCTGCCCCACCCTGTCAGACAGATCACACACCAGGAACTCGACTCCACCAACCCGGCATTTCTCTGAGGCAGGCGGAGCAGGCGGAAACACGGAGAGGGTGTCCGCAGGAGCCTTAGTGAGCAGCGCCGGGGCCCATTGGCTTACTTCCGCCTTCGGGTGCGGCCAGTGGGAGCGCGGGGCGGGACTTCCGCCTCGCCGCCTGCCGTCGTCCCCGCCGCCACTCCGGGGTCTGGGCTGGTGCGGATCCTCAGTCATGGGATCAGGTTAGCACTTCTCCCGGAGCCGCGGCCTGCCAGCCTATCTGTGTGGTGGGGCCAGCTTCCAGGTAAGAACCCCGCGGCCTCGGAGCGGCCGGGCGCCGGGCATGGGCCGGGAGCACACCCCTCCCCGGACTTGGAGCTGCGAGGTCTTCGCTGCTCCTGCCCAGGCTGGGGGCGGAGGAAAATAGACTTTTCGTAAAAGGTTAAAAAGAAAAAAAGCTCTGCCTTGGGAAGGCCGAGACTCCCCCACCCCTCACCCCACCTCCCGCTCGAGAATTTGTTTGTATATGAAGTTGCTGGTTTATCCGTTTGGCTCCTCACAATCTCTCGCCGAGGTACAGGAGCTTGGGAAGATGTTTGGAAGGCTTCTCCTGCCCTAACGTCCCCAGGCTGAGCTTTAGACTTTAGTTGCGGGGACTCTCTAATCTTGGAAAAAAAGAGACTGTCATCTCCTCTCTTCCCAACCTTTTCCCTCCTCCCTTTTCACTGCCCCCAACCCCCGCCCAATGGGAGCTCAGATTGTAGGTGGGACGTGACTCCTTCCCTGCCTCCTAGATCAGCTGCTCGGCCCCACAGCTTATTGCTGACCCGCCGCGACTCTGCGCGGAGAGGGAGCGGCCCACACCGAGACCAGGCGACCCCACAAGCACTCAGGCCACCAGGTAACTTTGGTGGCAGCCACTGAGTGTTCTGTCAGCTTGTAGTAAACTCCTCAATTTTGGTCTAATTTGGCAATAGTAAATTTCCAAAACTGTCGTTTTGCCCTCAGTTTCAGCACCGTGGGCAGCCACTCAAGTCCTCCTGTGTCCCCAGACCTGACCGACTGTTGTTTGTCAGCAGGAACAGTGAAAATGAAGACATTTCTTTCAACAATGATCTTTTGTTTTCCAAGGAGAACATCTGCAGTTTTGATACAGTATAAGTCAGGTTGGGTGTGCCGCCAAAAAAGTTTAGTATGTTAACGGATTTTGGAATCAATTTAGTGCATTGACATTAACATTAGAAAGAGAGATGGAGAAATATTAGAGGACATCCTATGGAGTAAGAGTAGGTATTTATTTCATGAAGCTTTTGTTTATTTTAAAATATGTGTATATGAAGATGTTAATGTTCTTATTCATTAATTGAAATAATGAATTAATTGAAATAAATTGTTACATAATTAAGCCTCAATTTTTTAAAATAATTGGGTAGAGCCCAGTTATTTTTGTGTCAGAAATGACAATGTGTTATTAATGTATTTTTTACTTCTGCTTTTATTTGAAGCCAGCCAGCTTGATGTCTCTGTGTAATACAATCATGTGGACAGAATCTGTGTTTGTGCAGTTTCAGTACTTGAAGAGTTTGGAGTAAATTCTCATTGATCCTTGTTTAAAGCTCATTTCTCTCAAGCATTTTGTTACTAGCATTCAATACCCTTCCTTTGATATTTTTCTGCATCAGAGTAACATAGATGTAGTAGAAGTTTTTCAGGTACTAATTTTAGCAAAGTAGGACTAAGGGTATGATAGAGTATGTCTTCGAGTTACATTGGATAGGAAGGCATTTTATGTTTTATAGTTATTGCCATAGAAAAATGAAATGAAATGGCTTGGCCGAATTTCATGGTATGCTTACTTTATATTGGTATGATCTCAAAACAGTTGGTGTTTAAGTAAAAAGTATGATTTGGACATTTTAAAATCTAGGAATTAATGTTTAGCAGAAGGCAAGATGAGTTTAAATTAAAATAGTATTTTGCATCATTTGACATATTACTGCCATATGGCATTGCATATGGTAGTTTCACAGACAAAAAGGGAAGAAAGTTGGTAAGCATTGTTAGTTTTCTTAAAAGAGAAAACTGAATTTCTTTTAATACAATGTGGAGGTTAATCATTATTTAAAAATTAACGTATTCTGCAAATATTTATTGAGCATATATAAAAATACAGTGTTAAGCTTTCACATTATGCAAAAGTTGATTTGGAAACAGAACATATAATTGATTTAGTCAGAGTTTACATATCATAGCATATAAATAGCAAAAACAGTAGTAATAGCTAACATTGATTGTTTACTATGGGCCAAATACAATTCTAAGCACTTTATATTATCTCATGTAATTCTCACTGCTATCAATGTGGTAGATAGTACTATTACCCCCCCCCTTTTTTTTTAATATATTTTATTGATTTTTCACAGAGAGGAAGAGAGAGGGATAGAGAGCTAGAAACATCGATGAGAGAGAATCATCGATCAGCTGCCTCTTGCACACCCCCTACTGGGGATGTGCCCGCAACCACGGTACATGCCCTCAACCAGAATTGAACCCGGGACCTTTCAGTCCGCAGGCCGACGCTCTATCCACTGAGCCAAACTGGTCCCGGCTATTACCCCTTTTTTATATGGGGAACGAAGGCATCACAAATACATAACTTGATGAGTTTACACAGGTTGTTACTGGAGTTACTAGAATTTGCATGTAGGCATTCTGACAGTAAAGCCTTCCAACTTGTGTTGTTTTATTAAAAAATACAGAACATAATGGGGTTATTTTGCATTATTTCCTTGCTGGTTTGGATGACTATGTAAGCTCTTTTGGCCCTCAGTTTAGTCAACTTTTCCTTAAAAAATATAGTAAGTTGTTAAGTTTTTGTGGGAACTAGGGTAATTTGTAAAGCACTGGACAGAATATCTGTTCAGTGAATGCTATGCCTCAGTTATTTTTCTTTCTATGAGGATGTGAACATTCAAAATATTGTTAGCAGTTGGAGGAGAATGGGAGACAAAGATAGTTTCACATAAGGACACTGAACTGTCAAACGTACAGAGGTAGGAAAGCAGAGAACATTTGCCAAAGTTGTATGTTTAAGGAACAGGCTGGTAAGGATACCTACTTACAGATTATGTAGATTCTTAATGCCAGGGTAAGGATTTTGTACAAGATTCTTAGTTGAAAAGAACCCCTCTTTATGGATATTAATCTTTTTTCCCCAGACACCTTTTTAAAAAAATTTAATAAATCTTTATTGTTCAGATTATTACAATTGTTTCTCCTACCCCCCTCCCCCCATAGCTCCCTTCCACCCGGTTCTCACCCCACCCTCTCTGCCCTTACCTCCCTATTGTCCTCATCCATACGTGTACGATTTTAATCCAGTCTCTTCTTGCACCTCCCGCACCCCTTTCCCCTGATAATTATCAATCCACTTCCTTTCTTTGCCCCTGATTTTTTTAAAATATATTTTATTGATTTTTTTACAGAGAGGAAGGGAGAGAGATAGAGAGTTAGAAACATCAATGAGAGAGAATCATCGATTAGTTGCCTCTTGCATACCCCCTACTGGGGATGTGCCCACAACCAAGGTACATGCCCTTGACCGGAATCAAACCTGGGACCTTTCAGTCTACAGGCTGACGTTCTATCCACTGAGCCAAACCGGTTTTGGCTGTCCCTGATTCTTTTATATTCACCAGTTAATTCTGTACATTAGATTTTTAATTCACTTGATTTTTAGATTCACTTGTTGATATATATGTATTTGTTGATCATAATTTTTATCTTTTACTTTTTTCTTCTTCCTCTTTTTAAAGAATACCTTTCAGCATTTTATATAATTCTGGTTTGGTGGTGATGAACTCCTTGAGCTTTTTCTTACCATTGAAGCTCTTTATCTGCCCTTTAATTCTGAATGATAACTTTGCTGGATACAGCCGAGACTGGTTTGACTCAGTGGATAGAGCATCAGCCTGTGTACTGAAGGGTCCCTGGTTTGATTCCGGTCAAGGGCATGTACCTTGGTTGTGGGCACATCCCCAGTAGGGGGTGTGCAAGAGGCAGCTGATGGATGTTTATCTCTCATCGATGTTTCTAACTGTCTATCCCTCTCCCTTCCTCTATGTAAAAAAATCAATAAAATATATTTAAAAAAAACTTTGCTGGATACAGTAATCTTGGTTGTAGGTTTTTGCTATTTACCATTTTGAATATTTCTTGCCAGTCCCTTCTGGTCTGCATAGTTTCTGTTGAGAAATCAGCTGATAATTGTATGGGTGCTCCCTTATAGGTAACTCATTTTTGCTCTCTTGCTGCTTGTGAGATTCTCTCTTTGTCTTTTGCCCTTGGCATTTTAATTATGATGTGTCTTGGTGTGATCCTCTTTGGATTCCTTTTGTTTGGGGTTCTGTGTGCTTCCTGGACTTACAAGTCTATTTCTTTCACCAGGTGGGGGAAGTTTTCAGTTATTATTTCTTCAAATAGGTTTTCAATATCTTGCTCTCTCTCTTCTTTTGGCACCCCCATAATTCTGATGTTGGTACACTTGAAGTTGTCCCAGAGGCTGCTTACACTATCTTCAATGTTTTGGATTCTCTTCTCTTCTTGCCTCTGCGGAGGAGTGTCCTTTGCCTCTTTGTATTCCAAATCTTTGACTTGATTCTTGTGTTCCTCTAGTCTGCTGTTGGGGCTTTGTATAATATTTTTTTTTATTTCAGTCAGTGTATGTTTAATTTTTAGTTGGTCCTTTTTCATATTCTCGAGGGTCTCATTAAATTTATCGTCCTTTTCTAGGAAATTCTTGAAAAACCTTATAACTTTGGTTTTGAACTCTATATACAGTCTTTTGTTCTCTATTTTTTTTTTTCTTTTGAGATGTTTCCTTGTTTTGGCATTTTCGCTGCTTCCCTGAGTTGGTAGGGTGGCTTTGTGTGCTAGATTTTCTATATGGCCTGGAGGGTCAGCCTCCCGTTACCTGAGGTGGACACTCTTGGTGCTCCCCTTTGTGGACTTGTGTAAAGCCTTCTTGTAGTTAATTCTTGATTGTTGTTGGTATCACTGGGAGGAACTGACCTCTTGGCCAATTGGATGTGAGTATCAGCTGTGTCTAAGCCTAGATACCATCTGTATTGGAGACAGCCTTATAGGACCAGACTTGCAAAATTGCAACAGTCTCTTTGCTCAGCTTGGATAGGGCGGAGTCTCAGGGCACGTGCCTCCAGACCTCTGCCTTACATGGATCCTCTGAGTTTCCACCTGACAGTCCAGATTCCCTCCTGTAAGAGCGTGGGTGCCCCAGGGGCTCAC